CCCCCCCCAGACCCCTTGACCTCTGGCGACAGTCAGGAAGGACCCACCCTGGCCAGGTCTGGTTGGGCTCAAAGAGGATGAGCAGGGTGGGCTCGTAGTAGCCGTACAGGAACTGCATGTCGATGATGTTCAGCAGCTTCTCGTCCAGCTCCCGCACGTCGATGATGTAGCTGGGCAGGAAACTAGACTTCTGCCTGTAAGAGCAGATCGCAGGAGTCATGGGGGGGGGCCGCGGGAGGGAGGAAAGGAAGGAGGGGGAAGGAGGGCAGGGGAACAGATACAAGCATCCCTCCTTGGAGGGACGACAAGCATCTTCCAGGGCAGCCACAGAAACTGCCCTCAGAAGGCTTAATGGCATCAACACCTTCATGGAGGATGGCTCGGTTTGCAGTTATTTGGATAGCTAAGCAGCCCGACCTGCCCCACATAAGTGGATAAGGGTGAAGAAAGGTATGTTCCTTGGAAGCAGAGTGGGGCACCAAGGTACAGTCTGGAGAATGCTCCCCCCCTCCAAACCTTACTCATTTTCAGGTGCCAAAAGGACTGCAGCTGTTCTCAGTTCAGCCTCTGTGCCCAGGAGGCCAAAGGAGCCCCCCCCCCCGATCTAAGCCTTACCCTTCACCCATGACCCCTTCGTGCTCGTCCGTCAGCGTGTCTCTGCGGAAGGGCAGCACCACCAGCCGCGTCCCGTAGATCAGCATCACCGCGCAGCGCCCGTCAGGGTCCACCCGCACTTTGGGGATGTGGACATTCTGCACGAAGCCATCCTGAGGGAGGGGGAGACGCCAGAGAGCGTGTGTCACGGCATGCATGCCTTCTGTTTATTCACTTACTTAATTTTAAGCATTTATTAGCCGCCCCTCTATCTCATGGAACTCAAGGTGGCTCACAAGGAAAACAGAACAACCATTATAAAAAGCACAAAAGATCACAACTAACAAACTCCAGTCAGGACCAATGTTCCCTCTAAGCTGTGGAGTCCTGAGAGCAAAAATTCTACTTTGTGAGCTACCAGCATTAAAGTTGTGAGCAGGCGATTGGGCTGCTGCAGAAATTCATTTGCTCTGGAGCTATCCCTTCCTGAGCGGAGACAAAAATGGGTGAGCCGGAGGCTAACAAACTGTGAGCTAGCTCACATGAACTCAGCTTAGCGGGAACTCCAGTTAGGACAGCCAATAAACAAAAACTGAATTAGTCAAATGCACTCCAAAATAAAGCTGTCTCCAGCTGCTTCCTAAAGACTGAGAGTGAGGGGGACCAGGTGCACCTCTCTGGGGAGGTTGTTCCAAAATTGGGGGGCTGCCACCAAAAAGGCCCTCTCTCGTGTGCCTTGCAAACGAGCTTCTTTGATGGGTGGACCAGTCAAGAGGGCTTTTCCCTTTGGTCTTAATTCTCAGGCAGGAACATATGAGAGAAGATAGACCTTCACATACATGTCAGCTAGGCCTCCGTACGGTCCTGTTGTCATGAGAACGGGGGGGGGGGGGCAGTGGGATGGACAGCTGTTTGCTTCGCGCGCTTTCCCTCTCAGTTCTAACACGAAACAGTTAAGATACCTGATTGCGGCAAATATCTCAATAAACTTTTATTCTCTTGGATGACTGCTGTTGGGTTCCAAGCTGCACTCCCAGGCCCCCCAGGCAAAG